ACAAATGCTTGTGTTAGTTAAATTCTTTTATGAATTTGCAAACACAACTCAGCAACATGAATAATGTAGCAATAAAAAAATAAAATCAATTTTACATTTTTTAATTTTACACTAACATCAAATATATGTATTGACTTTATCATACTTTTGACAAAATTCAAAAATAAATCCATTCCATTCAGCTACTCCATCATTTCTTAAACATTCTGCATTTTATTTTCAGATTTGAAGAATGCAAAATAAATTAAGTTATACACCTAAACATCAATTCTTTTGTTCACCATTTTATCATGTTATTGTAAGTAAAAATAAAACGAAACTTTTTTAAAATGTTCCAATCAACCTAAATCTAGTACTTTGTCATCATCAACAATATCAGTTTTTATTTTTATTTTTTTTTTCATTAAAAATAAAATGTGGTTATGTATTTCACCATTTGTTATACACTTCATTTAATTAAAATGGAATAGGTTTTTTCCTAAGAAAAAAAAAACAAAAAAAATCAAAGATTATTTTTATATGACTTGATATTATATATGCATATGATATATGCAGAAAAGTTATTGATCAAAAAAGAATCTGATATTTTGTCAGATTTCGGAAGTGGGTTGGGCCTGAATTTTTTTGCACCTGCCCCCCATCATAAATGCAGAAGTATTTATATTTGAAATGTGTTAATTTATTTTTAAATATAATTTTATCTTCTATAGGAAATCATTTTCTATCAACTTTTTATTTCCAAAGCTGTCATTCTGTCAGAAAAGTTTCTGCAAACTTTATATTAGTATCGATTTCTTTCCTCTGGGCAACTGTTTACTTATGCCTTGGTAAACAGAACTCAATACAACTTGAAACATTCAAATCTGGTTGTTGGTATCTTAACTAAGAAAGATAACTGAACATTTTAAAAGCACTTTCTCAATTTGCTGTGACATTAATTTCAAAACAGAAAAAAACATTTAATGGAATATCAAAATGCTATTATGATCTGTCTTAAGGGTTTAAATATTAAAGAGAACTTTGTCATGTACAATATTCTATGGTTATATAGTATAGTAATAATATGACAATGATGATCTCTTAAAATTTTACTGCAATCATTCTCATTTTACATATCAATAACTAGATACTAATTGCTGAATAAAATATGACTTTCAAGATACAAATTGTGGTAAAAAAATTATTTGAATACCAGTAGTATTTGAATAAAGCATTGTAGTAGTGGAAATATTTGTAACACAACTTTGTTTTTTAACATTACTCAAAATTAAAAATTGTCAGCATTCAATAAAAATAAAATCCATTTTAGTACAAAAAACTTACCTATAAAATAAGTGCAGTTTTCTTCTTGTTTAAAAAGTTTATTTTTTGTGTACAGAAGAATTGAAAAATATTGTCAACATTTGTGAAGCTGTGTAAAAGTGAACATACAAAGTAAGGTCAACTAGCAATGGTGATGAATCCAAAAAAGTACAAAGCTTCATATTTATTTAGCATTACTGTGTCAACTATGTTAGAAGTAGCTGCCATTCAACATAGCCTCAACACCCACTTCTCTCTTGGACAGAAGGTAAAAAGTGAGAGGTTTAAGACATTTCATGTTCTCTTCGTCAACACAACACACCTCGAAGCAAATTACTGGAAAACTACAGAAGAAATATGATTTGCATTTTGGTTATTTTAACTGCCTTTTGTGCCACTATTACAGGTCAGTTTATACATTTTCTTTGAAATAATAACACTGAAATAAAGTTAACTTAAAAAAGATTTTATGAGTTAACATTTGTCTGGAAATTAGTGTTTTATATAGCCTCCGTAGTTGAAAATGTAAAGAGAAAAAAATACTTTTCAAATGGTCAACTTGAAGCTACTGATACTTATTTTAATATTCCTTACCAGCTGAATATTGTTTGGTAGAGATTATTAAAATAAATGTATATTTTTTTTTTTCAATCCAAAAGCATTTTAACAATTATTAAAATTTATGAAAATAGCAGCGAAATCTAAATATGTAATGACTTAAGTATAGGAAAATAAGATTAACAAAGAAAATTCCCTGAAATTGACTTCTTTGAAATAAATGTTAACAATACACAAAGGACAATGAAAAAGTTATGAGGAAATAAAATTTAACCAATTCAGTGAAAATGTTCAAAGCTCTTTAACACTGAAATGCTGTCATAAAATCAAAAACTTTGAACTTGAAATGATTGTTGTATGCCTTTACATTCAAAATAAGTATGTTTGTTTTTAGTTATGTTCACGTTTCGGTCATTGTACCCTCTGACTGTACAGTGTATAGTTCCAAAAGAAAGAACAAACAAATTTTCAATAGGTATGTATTGACCAATTTTCAGAATATACATAATATTCAATACCAGCATACTTAGTTGTATGAAAAGGATTTACCTGGTGTGGATTCACCTGTATGAGATATAAGCAGTTGTTAGCGGGGTTGATACAGTTATTGGTAAGACCCAGAGTTGGTTGATTGCAGTCATAGTGGTGATGACAAGAGAGGAGTGGAGTGTTATAGTGAATCTGACTTTGCTGATACAGAGGGTGCAAGCGTTAAGAAGTTGGGTGAAGTCACTAATCTAAATTTGCCAATATGGAGGGTGTGAGCATGAATCGTGTAAAGTCATGAATTTCACTTTGCGTACAGTATGAGCAGAATGTTTCTGGGTGTGTATCAAGTGGATATGTGTGTTAGGTTGGTTGACCAAAATCACTGGAGATTTCGAGAGCTCATTGACATTGACAGCTGGCCTATTAGCCACATTGTGCATGAAGAGTTGGTCGAAGTCAATAATCTGGTTGCTGTTACAGTAGATTGACTGAGGTTACAGTGGTGATGACAAGAGAGACCTGGAGTGTGATAATGAAGTTTAATCGAGCAGAGATATGTGTTGGGTTGGCTGATCAAAATCACAGTGGTGGCCTTGAGAGTCCACTGTGTTGACAACTGGCTTGTGTGCCAAGTTCTGTGTCAACCATTTAGGAAGTGCTTTCTTTTAAGCAAATGTGGTAGCTCCCAGATTCATCTTTTTTTCTTTGGCAACAACATTTGTGATTGGCTGTTGTATTTTTATAGGCCAGATGTGATGCTCAGAGCCCCTGCACAAAAGACAACTTTTTTATTTTGAATTTTGCTTTCTTATTGAACATATCCAGCTGACATGTAGAGTGAATCAGAAACAGATTTAACTTCCAGCAGAGAGTATGATGTCCTTCTTCAGATCTTTGTTACTTGATAACCTCAGAATGTAAACCAAATACTTTACTGAATACACAGGAATAAATTGTTCTTATCCCACTCTCCATACTGAGGGGATAATACATATCAATTCTCTCTCATCTATTCATCTTTGAACCATTTATCTGTTCCTTCCACCAAACCAAAATAGATGTCTTTCCTGTGCTACTCAATTCAGGGCTTTTGAATTTACAACTGCAAATACACCAGATATGTTTTAACCAACAGTTTAATCCATTAGGCTATATGTCTGTTGGACAAGTGACTCAAAGGTAAATAGGGAGAATTAATTGATATATTTCCCCTAAATATGGAAAGAATGCTTTTCTTCTGTGGACTGATTAAAAGGGTTTAGTTTAAAAAAAAAAAAAATGCTTACTAAGTACAAACATCTAAAGAAGGTACAACAGTGAAAATGTGATTATAACAACCAAGATGAATATGCAGGTCCAAAAAGAAAGACATATGTTGATAAATTGAAATTGTTTAGTTTGAAACAACTGTTGACCAATAGCTAAACTATAATTTTTTTTTTTTTTTAAATTTAACCAAACTTTGAAATAAACAGATTACATATTTCTTTAAGAATTAAGTTTAGCTTCTTCATCTTCATTCAAATGATATAAAAATCATGTCAGTGTTAATAAAAATTTACCATAGATTTAATACTGATAGAACTTTATTTTTTGTCATTTTCTTCTTCAAAGTCTTAATTGAAAATGTAAAACAACTGTACTTCCTGTTATTCTTTATGCAATAAGATGAAAATATCTTTTGGGGGATTCATACAATCTTGTAAAAATCCTTTTCTATAATGGTTTTCATTTTCTTAATGTTATTTTTTTTTAACTTTAGAATTCCTTATTATGTCACAATATATTTCACATTCATTTATTTCAATAAAAAGTTTTAAAATTTTAATTATTTCTGCAAAAATACTGGAAATGTTACAATATCTTCATGTCAAATGTTAATAATTCCATGTCTCTAAAACAAAGGAATAAATAAATAAATTAAAAAAAAAAAATACACAGTAGCTGCAACATGCCTAATTAATTCATGTTTTTATTTCCACAAATTGAAATATTATTCTTATTTTCATGTGGTTATTGTTAGAAAAATAAACTATGAGAAAAGATTTTTTTTTTTAAGCATTGTGTCTCTTAACTTCATTATTCTTGTTGGATAGTTGAATAAAGACTGCTCTCCTACATTATCTGTTCAGCTAAAGTATATATGCTCTCAGTATTTGAGTTATGTCAGGTGTGGGGCTCAATAAGAGAGTCAAGTCAAAGCAGTTGCAAGTAACACAGTATAGGAGACAAGAATTATAACATCAATCAGATACAAATACATTTACAGGAAATAAGTGGTGTCCAGTTCATGGGAGAAATAGTCTTTACAACTTTTGCCATATAATATTTGGCAATTAAAAGAACTAAATGGTCATAACAAATCTGATAGTTTTCATGAATTCCTGTTTATAGCCACTCTTTTTGCTATTTAACAAGATAGGTGGTTTCTGTTTGTTGAAAACTTAGCTGAAGCTATTAGCCAAGAATATTTTACAATTTACATTGTTAATTTCACTAGAACAATTTTTATCTTTAGCTAAACAATGGAAAATAATGATCATGCAAACTATTTTGTACAGCTTAATCACTTTGAAATTTTAATCATAAATAAAAACCTAACTGTTGCATAATAATTTTCTATTTTGGTTGCTTCTTGTCAAACTTTACAGGTGGACGTCAGATGTGTTACAATTGTCAATATACTATCACATCAACTAAACAAGGTATTGAATGTGCTTCTGAATACAACAACACAATAAACAGTGGGAAGTGCCCTTACAAGTGCATCATACATAGTGAAACTAACAAAGGTAGGTATCAATTGAGCTTCAAGAATTTTTTAACCATTTATTATTTGAAACTTAATACTTATTACTATCAAACAAATTTAAAACAGAAAATGAAATTAATGTTTTTCAAAATATACTTTAAGCAATGGATATGTAATCAATAAAGCAGCATGTGTAGTTGATGGTGTTAGCATTTCAATGTTTATTTTCATCATCAGTTTAATTGAAAGCAACTTGCCTATATATTTATAGTAAACATTAGGAAAAAATAAATAAATAAATGTACAAAGCGAAATGAAAGAAAAATAATGAGATAAAAGTGTAAGAAATAGATGTCAAGACTTTCAACTATTTTGGTTTATAACAAGGAAGTATTTCTATAAAGTTACCCTAGATAATAATGGGCAGCAAAGAATTTTTTGAGGTACTTTAAAAAGACATTTTGTGTTTGAAAGGAATAATTATCCATATGGTTACATGGATGACATTATTGATTAATACTTTTATTTCTGCCTTAACTTCATTTATTTGCATGTAGATTTGTTTCCTTATTTTGATAAAAGTAAAAGAAAAATACATTGGAATATTTGCTGGATGACCGAGCATACTAATAAAAAAAAATAAAAAAAAACTCATTTATGTAATGGGAAAAATTTTGCTTAAAATTTCTTTAATTCCTTAATTATGAAATAGACAATCTCATATCCAGAAGAATAATGTTAAATACCTTGTGCTTGTGAAAAAAAAAAAAAAAAAAAATTCTGTATACATTAAAATTTGGTAAAATGAACAAATTATACTGATTCAATTTACAGTGGAGACATTAGAATATATTCTATTAATCAATTTCGGACAAAAACCACTTTTTATTGAAAAATATTAATAAATAAAATATCCCTACTGAGTGCATACCAACTTAAATTTTAATTAACTTATAATTTATGAAGAAAGAAAATTTATACAGCATTTGAAACGCATCAAATTATTAATTTACAATGTTTTAACTTTTAGGTATTAACAGTTATTAAAAATTTTATACGCTTCAAGTAACACATTTTCAAATAGAATTTACCATTTCTATTAAATATTCAGATTCTTATGCTTACTACTTGGTATGTGCTTTTAGCATGAGCAGAAAACAATGTATCAAGTAGTGAGTTGATGTCAAATAATTATAATAAAATAAAAATCTTCCCTAATCTAGTCTATTTCTGGTAGCATGAAAATTGTCTAAAGAAACTTGAGCCAAAATGTTCTTTGCAAAACCATATCCACAATTTGTGAATTTTCTTTTTAACTGTTTTTTTTTTTTTTTTTTTTTAAATTGGCATTTGTTTTAAAGGATTATAAAATTTTACTATTTAAATTAGGAATTTTTGATTTAAAAAAAAAAAAAAAAAAAAAAATTTCCTGAGACTAATCAAAGACAGTTTTAAACTATTTTTCTATTATTTGCTTTTCAGAAACTGAAGAACTCCGCAGTTATTTTCGTGGTTGTGGTAAAGGTTACACTAAAAATGGTTGTTCAGAAGTCGGGAATATAGAAACTTGTTATTACACGTGTACTGACCATTTCTGTAATGGCATTGACATTCGTCCTTCAAAAAACAATTCCTTAGATATTACCATTGACAAAAGCCTTTTATTTCTTATCTACTTTGTCTTTGTATCAAACATTTAATTCCCCTTCCTCAAATAATATTCATTCACAAATTAAGAACAACATTTCTTATGTAAGTAAAAGAATCAATTGCATTTATGTAGCAACAGAAGGAAATATCAAGGGAAATAAAAAAATTAATTAATAAAAACATCATCCATTCTGATATATCTAAATATCTTGACAGTTATAGAAGCTTTTTTTTTGTATTTAAAACTGATGCATGAAAAACGAATTTGATGTTTAGCATTATAAATCTAAAATAAATATCTTTTTTATTATGTAAAAAGTGATTTCTGTTATCATTCATCTTTATCATTCATTTCTGTAATACTTTTTCATCTCTGTCTGAAAAAATACATTTAGCAAACATTTAATAAGGATTAAGTTGATATTTTAATACTATATGTAAAAGGTAGAAAATCATAAATGCATTAACAGAAATATAATCATAAACATGATTGTTGGCATACAAAGCCAAACAAAAACTTTCATAGTGGAAGAAATAAGCAATAAAGAGCATTCATTTGTATAAATGCAATTTACCATTTCAGCACAGAAATTATTTTATTCTCAAACAAGACAATCCTTAAGGATTGCCTTGTTCTCAATAGATTGCTTAACACCTGATTTAAATTAATTTTTTTTTTTTTTTTACTTTCACTGAAAAATTCTGTTATAGAAAAAAATATTTGAACGGATAAAAATATGAATAATATACAGAGTGCATAAAAATGATTTTCTGTTTATTTTTGGTTAAATTTATCCAAGAGATAAAACGGGAAATCTGAAAAAGCACAATGCATGCAACTAACCCTGAAACTATTGCTGTTTTAATGTCATCAGTTCTGGCATTTTTGTGGTTAACAGGTAAGGTAATTCTAATATTAACACATTCAAGCTGAATGTGTTAATATTAGAATTAAGTTTAAGTAAATATTACTCTTAAGTAACTTTATAATTACTTTACATTGGTATTGCAAATTTTACATGTTTAAGCAAATTAATTTCCTTAATTTTCAAATAGAGCTTTTCTGATTAGATATAAGAAAATAAGCATCCATTAAATGAAATGCTCACCCTACAACATTTACACCTACCAGTGTAAAAATTTAAAATACATTGAAGGTGTTCAAAATTATATAACCATCTTGATATAGAGGAACAGTTATTAGGATATCCAACTTGAGATTAGGGATTTTGCAAAATACATTAAGACTGATTTCTATAAAAAACACTTGGAATTATCAAGGAAAGTAAATGAAAAATATTAAATGAAAAAAAAGAAAAAAAAAAGAAAAAAAAGAAGAAAAAAAGCGCCTTTTTAAAACAAAAAGTAAACACATTTTATTGATGTCTATGATTTCATGGTTATACACATGTTGGCATGAAAGCAAAAAGGTAAAACAAAAGAGAAAAGTCAATAGAAATAAACAGACAATATTAAAGAAAGATATTGCTGAGGATGAAGAGAATGCCTTTAAGACAGATGTGCAGAAGGGAAACAAAAAATGAACAAACAGAAATAAAGTGTACATAATGGCAACAAAGGAAACTGGCCATTTTCATAGCCTTTCCTGCTTGTCAGACATAGATTCATTTACAACAATGCAATTCTTTGACATATCACAACTGCTTTATGTTTTTGTTTTTGTGACAATACATTTGTTTTTTTAGTAGAAAGTACAGGGATGTCCTAAATAAGAAACCAAAATTGGATATAAAATATAGAGATTCTTCATAAGCAAGTTACATTTGATGAGGCTGCATGAAACATGGAAATAGGCAACCAGAGTCTACTACCTTGAAAGGCATTAAGATTTTTATATATATATATATATATATATATATATATATATATATATATATATATATATATATATATATATATATTTTACAAGGTCATGGAAGAAAATATTGAGATGTGCAAGAAACATAAGAATTGTGAAATGGAAATTGTCAGAGAAAATCCACTTACAACAAACCTCAAGAAGAAACAAGCAAAATTATTAAAAGCAATACTTCATTTTTGTGAGATATCTACAAAGTTTTAAATGTTGTATTTGCAGTTGACTTTTTTTCCACCGGGATAACCAACATTTGCAGAATGTAGGCATCGTTTTTTTTTTTGAGTCAGATTCATATAAAAAATAATAAATAAACAATTATAGACAAAAGAAGTTATACATTTGCTGAACTTAAAATCTTTTAGATAAATGAATTTCACAAGGTTTGTTATTCTTTAAACCCCCCCCCCAAGAAAAAACAAATAAACAATGTGTTTGGGAAGAAGAAAAAAAATTGTTTACAGAATTTGTTCTCTGGAACCTCATAGGGGGAGGTTAAATCAAGCTTAAAACATGTAAGATCCTAATGATTGTAGTCACAGAAAGAAAAAAAGATTTTCATTTTTGTTAAAAATAGTAAAAGAAAGCATTAACTAATTTGTGCAGATCCTAATGATTGAAATAAGAGAATTAATAACAGAAAATGGATAGAACATTCTCTTATCTCAAGAATAGGTTTAGTAAGAAAAAAATAATATCGTTAACCTCAAATGATTCAATCAAGTTAAAGTTTCAGACAAGATATTTTGCAAATCATAATGGGTTGAGAGTTTGAACCAAATTACCAATGGTTATCTTATTTTTATATTACATTAAACAGAAAAAAAGTAATTTACATATAAACAGCCTAGAATTGAAATCAGATTTTAGAACCAAACAACTATAAACTCTTGAAATCTAGTATAGTATTTTATAAAGTAACAAATTGTTAAAAAAAAAAAAAAAATAATAATGATAAAGATCAACATTTTTTTTCCAGCAATGAAGAAAATTACAACCAGATGAAGTGTTATCAGAAATCAAAGTTTTGACCTAAACTTCATCTTTTGATTATATAATTGACGATTTAAAAGCTGTACATTTTGACTTTAAAAACAAAATAAAACAGCAAATTTATTAGGAGGAAAATGATTAAAGTGAATAAAAATTCTACTTTATAGCATTTTAACAAAAATAAAAACATTTCTGAAAATGAAAAATAAATAAATAAATAAATGTGACATCAAAAAACAAACACACAGAAAAGAAGCTAACACTAAATTTGATGTTAAATAAATGTAAATGAATACAACCAGAAAAAAAACTATTTTAAAGTGCAAATTGGGGGGGAGTTTTTCAGTGATTGGCCAATAATTAAAAAAGCTCAAAGAACATTTACATGAAACTAATAATAATTCTAGTTTTGTCAACTAAAATAGGGAGTTTTTTTTGTTAAATATTACTAGATTTTTCTTGGGGGGGGCGTTGAGGAAGGGAAGGAAAGTTAATATTGACATTTCCTTTAGCACCACAAATATTTCTAATGTACATTTAAGAAGAAATGTAAAGATCCCACCACACCATTTCCAATTGGTTTCCTTTTCTGGGCACTAGTGGCAGTGTCATTGCTCAAACTGAGCAATGACACTACTTGCATGCAATCACATAAACAGAGCCAGAACATACAATATTAAATAGGACAATTAATATACAGAAAATACTTTCAAAAGAAATCTCCAAAATATTACAAAATATTGTTTCAATGTACTTTTCTATCAGAAGAGGAAAAAAGTATTTAAAACATTAAAATATAAATAGCAGGAAAAAAAAAAAAAAAAAAAAAAAGAAAAGAAATTGGAAATACTCAAGAGGAAATCAGAACATTTTGTTTAGAGGTCTTTCAAGTTTTAGTAAACACAAAATTAGCAGAAATTTTCATTTTAGTTTTGTTTTTAAATCAAGTAAATTTTGGAGATTACTAAAAAAAAAAAAAAAAAATATTCAATAACATTAATAAAAAATAAATTCTTCCCAAACACAATTGAAATCGTGTTAGTTAAAGTAGCTTAAAAAAAAATGTAGGTTGAATAATACACTTCAAAGTACTGGGAAAAAATTGATTTTGACAATAACGAGAGTTGGAGGTAACGTTAAATGTTGTACATTGCACAAAGAAAAAGATGAGCGTATAGTGATATCATTGAATAAAAATTTGGGATGTTTGGAGATGCGAGTCAAAAAAAAAAAAAAAAAAATTTAAGTGAATATCAAAGGAATAAAAAGGTAAAAAATAGTGCAAGATTTGATTGCGTTTATGCATGTGCTGCTTGTGGATAGGTAAATATAAAAAATGCACAAAACATTTCGTAGGTTAATAGTGTTGAATGCCGGTGGGCAGGCAAGGTTGGCTTTGTGAAACACGGGAAGTAACTCCTAATTATAAAAGAAAATTAAGGAAAATAGAATAAGAATTATCTTCCTTGGTTCATAGTAAAATATACATATTTCCAGAAAGAAAAGTGATTTTATATCAATGGCATCACAAAGCAAATTTGTTATATTTGGGATACAAAGAAAATGCATGCTTACAGACGTTCCACACGCAAACAATGATACGATCACTCATAAAAATGATACATTAACACTTGTAAAATTAAATTGGAAGTGTGTAAAAAACCAAAAAAAACAAAACAAAAAAAAACAAAAAACAAAAAGAAAACAAACATCCTTAAACTGATCCGCCTTGTAAAAGATTTTTTTGCAACATAAAAAACTCATCCAAGGAAGATTTAAACCATTTTAAATAAACTTCATTTTCAAAAAAATAAAAATGGATATTTTTGTTGGGCATTTTCCCCTTTTTAAAAATCCAAATTTTCATCTGCTGGGTGCCTATTTTAGAGAATTTCCCTCCAAATAAAAAGTAATGACTAAGAACTGGCTGGGAAAATAATGGAAAAGTGCAATTTAAAATAAAAAAATAAATCATTTTCAGAAAATATTTTGTTTCTGAGGAAGATAGATTGTGTGTGGGTACATATACATACAAAAAATGGTTTTATATCATTTAAAAACAAATCACAAGTGAAAGAGAACAATTAAAATAAATAGACGGATTTTATTTTAAAATAAAAGCATGAAAAAAAAGTTGTGAAAGGAATTAACATTTGTTTGTAAATTTACCAGTTCATCTTT